CAGGGGCCGTACAAGCCCTCTCGCAGCTTCCTAGGGCCCCCTCTCGCAGCTTCCTAGGGCCCCCTCTCGCAGCTTCCTAGGGCCCCCTCTCAATGCTCTGTGCACCTGTGTCTGTCATTGTCGTCCTCTCCCCTCCCCAGGCCCTGCTCGCCCAATGTGTCCTGATATTTCACTCTTGCGATCTGGTCACCCTACTTCCAACTGCCAGAAGCTGGGAGTGGATGACAGGATGGATCACTCAATAATTGCTTGTTCTGTTCATTCCCTCTGGGGCACCAGGCATTGGCCACTGTCGGAAGACAGGATACTAGGCTAGATGAACCATTGGTCTGACACAATATGTCCGTTCTTATGTGTCAGAACAATATCCCTTGTGGAAATCTTCATTGCTCCTGGGGGGATATGCAAGACATACATACTAATGACACCTCAATATTTACAAAGTCCTCTTGATGTGAATGGCAGCAGTGCCCTCCCCCTGCCAGCCTGTGTTCTGGGGGTAGGCAGACTCACCCTGGAACTCCAGGAGGAGGGAGGAGTTGGCAGATGAGTCAGCTGGGAAGCCATTGGGTTCTCGAGCAGCACTGCTACTTGTTTTGGACTTCTCTTTCTTGAAGAGAGAGAACATGGGATTAACAGAGTCACACTCAGCAAGCAGAGGGGAGAGAGGCAGAAGGCCTTTAAGGAACACTGCCCTTCCCAGGCAGCAGCAACAGCACAGAGCCAGAGGGGCATTCGCCTATGGACACTGTACCTGCCCAGGCCACAAGTGCAGCAAATGGGGCTACGTCACATTACAGATGCTGTGTGGATTGCTGGGCCTACCCCCGAGTCTGAAGTCCATTGTAAAAGGAAGGTTTTGCCTTCCAGATCCTCTCTGGGGATTTCCCAATGAGCACACTGGCCAAAGACCATCAGCTCCAGCCCGTCATAGAATCATAGAATATCAGGATTGGAAGGGACCTCAGGAGGTCATCTAGTCCAACCTCCTGCTCAAAGCAGGACCAATCCCCAGACCCCTAAATGGCCCCTCAAGGATTGAACTCACAACCCTGGGTTTAACAGGCCAATGCTCAAACCCCTGAGCTATCCCTGTCCCAGCAACCCCCCCCCCCAAAAAGCAATAATTTGTTCACTGTTCTCTGACTAGCGAGGGGCAGCCAGGGGAAACTACGACCTTTGTTTGTTTTTCTGGGAGCCCCACGGGTTTGAGCCATGCAGAGGAGATCCCCAAGACCAGACCTTCCTGGTGGGAGCTGGGATGACATTCTGAAGGGCAGAACTAGAGTCCATCCCCTTCAGCAGTGAGGCGTGGCCTCCTCCTCTCCAACCAGCACACACAATCCTTAAGAGCATTCCTTACAACAGACCCAGCACTTACCTCCTTACTGTCTGCTACAGGCACCCACTTGAATATCCGAAGGGATGTGTCTCCCACCGTCACCCACTTCTTCTCCCTACCACCAAGCAGGAGACAGGTTACAACCAACAGAGCCAACCACCTCTCCCAACCACACAACCGAGGAAGTCTTGGCAGTTACTCAGGACACAGCCATTAAATTCAGTTCAGGATCATGCCTGCATACACTTGCCTAGGCAGGATGAGAAACGGAGTGAAACGGACACGATTTCACCACAAAACTCTCCAGAAAAGCAATAGCAACAGCAAAGGTGTGAACTCCAGTGCCCTAGGGGACCACTGAGGGCTAGGAATACAAACCCTCCTCTGGAATCAGGGGTTGTGGGAACATTATCTAGAATGTCCCCATAGAATGGGCCTTTTCCCCATAATCTCCAGAGCAGGGCTTTCCTAGCCCACTGACTTGGCTGGAAAAGAGAGGGGGTCTCTGCTCACTCAGATGCTCAGCATGGCTCTCTCTCTTTCCCAGTTTTTATACTGGCACTTCTCACCTTCACATCACCAGGGCCAAGGTGCAGTGGTGTCAAATTCTGCACTCTGCCTGCAGAGCTTGTTTGCAGTGAGGGAATCAATCCCTCCTTGCTGAAACAAGGGTTGGAAAGTAGTGGTTGACTGGGGGCGGGAGAGTTAGACATTCTGCAGATGCTTCACTCAGAGCAGGAGTTGATTTACAGTGGTCCGTGGGCCCTTGGGATTGTAAAGAAAACCATGAAAACTTGGCCATCCTGGCCTTCCATTTCCATGGGTTTTAACTGCTGCCACAGGTTTAAGTTTTGCTTGATCTCACACTGAAAGGCAACCTTCCGTTCACCCAACTGCAAAATGTGTGCCTGATCCACTGGGTTAGGGCAGTCGAAGGCACCTGGATGTGGTGCTGGCCACATTAAACCACTGGCTATGAAACTGATGTGCCTTAACTGTCAGCCTGCTAAGCTCTTGGCTCAGGGGAACTTTGACTAGGGGAGGCCCCCTCCATCAGTCTGAAAGTTACCCGTGACGTCTCTCTCTGACACAATTGTGAGTTTATCAATCAATACTGTAAGCTCTTTGGAGCAGGAGGTGGTATTTTGTATTAGAACAGCATTTAACACATTGTGGGTGCTACTGAAATAATAATGCAGTAACCTGTGTTATTCATTTGGACATTAAATTGAGTGTATTACTCCATTTTCAATATGCTGCAGATTTGTGTGTTGACAATGAACAACTGCTTCCTAAAGTTGTCAAGGTGGAGGAAGCTGGAGGTTTTGGCAGGTGTGGATGGGGCTTTCAGCACTTTGCAGAGGGTGGGAGGCAGTTTGGGATGGTGGGATAATCAGGGGCCTTGAGTACCATTCCCAAAACAAAGGAGGTGATGCCCCCTCTTATTACATCCAGTAGCCCAGTGGTTAGGGCACTCACCTGAGATATGGGAGACCCATGTTTGAATCCTTACCATAGGCTCCAAAGCAAGGACTTGAACTAGGACCTCCCCCACCTAAGGGGACTGTCTTCAAGCCATTAGGTACTGGGGAGGGGGGTAGGAGGCTCTCCTGCAGAAGCGGTTTCACTTTTTATAAAATATTCAAATAGTCATTGTGCCAGAGCAAGTATAGGGAGAGTAACGCCCTAGCCTGGTGGCACTCCCACCTTTCAGCCTCCGCTCCAATGACTAACTATTTAGCCACAGTGGAACAGCTTCAACAAGAGAGACTGACAGACACCCACTCCAGAATATCCCATAGCCTGGTGGTTAGGGATATGAGACACTCAGGGGAAAATCCCTACTTTGAAGCAGGAACTTAAACCCATGTCTCCTGCATCCCAGCTGAGTGCCATAATCACTGGGCTATCGAGTATAAGGGAGGTGACTCTTCCTTTCCACATACTTAAAAAAAAACACCACACAGTTTAAAATACCCCAAAACTGGAACAAAATGTTTAGTTTCTGACATTTGGAATTGCCAGTGAACTGAAAAGACAGTTATTTGCCCAGCTCTAGTCCCTACTCAGGAGCTCCACCTTGTGTAATGACCTCTGCTACTCTCCCCCAGAGTCTTAACTGCTGTAAGGACAGGAGAAGGGGGACCTCTACACTACCCCTCTCCCAGCCTCCTGGGGAGAGGTTGTTGCTGCTTCTGTACAGCTCTGTTTTGGGACTGCCTTTCCTGAAAATAGCTGCAGCCCCTACCATCACCCAGCGCTTTGGCTAAACAGCTGAAGTAGAATGAACTAGTTCTTCACCCGATTTAGGACTCACCGGTGTGACTTCTGCAGGTAGACAGGCCCTGATGGGTTCCGGTCAGCTAGAGGGAGGGGGTCAAACCTGTAGCTGACTCAGTCTTGTGAACTGCACTGTGGGGGGCCTAGAGCAGGGGGTCTGACTCCAGGGCAGCAGCTACACTGGGTCAGGTCGCTCCCACCCATCACGTTCCCATGCCAGCCACGACCCCCGAGCCCAGGCACCGGTCCCGTCCCGGCCACAACAAGCGGCGATGCCCAAGAGACGGGTGCACCACGCACCTGCAGCTTCCCAACCCGCCGGTGAGCACCGTTACACCAGCGAGGAAACAGGCGAGGGGAGCGGCTCGCCAGGTACGAAGTCAGCGGCAGGGCTGAGGCCCACTCCGAGCAGAGCCCAGCCTGCGACCTGGGCCTCAGCGTCCCGGGAGACGGGCAACTCCTGGCCCATTGCTGCCGCTCCTACCCGGCTCCGAAGACGCCGCAGCGCGGCAGGCTCAGACGGAGCTCACCGTAGGGCAGGGCCCTCCCTGCCAATAACCCTGCGTAACGCGGGACAATTTGGGTCAGTGTGGGCGGGCCACCCGGGGGGCATGGTAACAGAAGAGCCCGCCTCCTCAGCCCGCGGGCCCTGATTGACCGCGGAGCATGTCCATCTATATGCTCCTCAGAGGAGCACGCCTGGAGGCAGCTGTGATTGGGCGTAGCCCCTGCCAATTGGGCTGTTCTTCGTGTTCCCCGCCCTCTCAAACCGTAAGGAGAGGTAATTGGATGTTCCGCCCGCTGGCTCTCGAGGCGCTTTGATTGGCTATTCGCCATCGGAGTCCCACCACCGAAGCCGATGAGGCACGGTGATTGGCCCCACACTTCGAGGCCCCGCCCCCCAGACCCCGCCTCTCACCATTTGCGGACGCGCTCGATAGCCGCCATCACTTTTTTGATGTCATCTTTGGCGCGGCTGCGGGTTTCAGCTCGCACCGAGCGGCCCGACATGGCGTCCGCAGCCCCGGCAACCCCGGCTCCGCAGTACCACCACCACGACCCGCCCCCCGCGCATGCGCGCGGCCTGACCCACCCACACCCCGCGCGTAATGCGTCAGCGCGCCCGCTCCGCCCGGGGGAAGGGAGCGTGAGGGAAGAGCACTGTTACCCCGTGCACATGCGCAGCTCCGCCCCCGCCCCGCCCCGCCCCGCCCCCCTTGAGCCTACGCGTGTAGGGAGGAGGCGCGAAAACGGCCGCGATGCCACCGTTTTGCGTGACGGAAAATCGCCCCGGGGCAAATCGGCTCCTCGCGGTGAGGGATGTGCCCCCTCTCCGCGGCGGACAAGGTAGAGATACTGCTGAGGGTTGAAAGGTCAGAGGTCATCGCCCCAGCAGGCAGGCAAGGGGCTGGTGGCTGCTCTGAAGTGACCCAGCCTGGGCTGGGTGGCACCTGCTTCCCCGGCAGGGCAGGCCGTGCCCATCTCCTAGCGCCCAGGTAGACACTCAGCAGCCTCCAGCCGAAAGCGGAGCGGTTTCTCCTGTACAGGGCACCCTTCTCCAACAGAGGGGCCCTATAGCCCAGCAACTGTCAGCTGCAGTCGACTCCGAGCGACCCATTTCCAACAACTTGCTTCCTTCCCCGAGTCGGTTAGCAGGGCAGCCACAGCAAAATGCCCCCTTCGCAGCAGCGTTTCAATGTGTCTGCTCAGGGGACCGCCCAGGGCACTTTGACCATGTGGTGGCTGGGGACAAAAGCTGTCACACACCTAGGAATCCACCACTGGCAATCCATCGCTTCCTGCTAATAGATCCCATCTAGTCCAGGGTCCTGTTAGTGATGTGTTGTTCTCGGATACCTTTGACCAGTTTTATACCTCCCCATCATACACTAAAATCACTTGTCAAGTTTTAGGGCTTGTTCAGACTGCTTACTGAGATCACATTTCACAGACAGAGCAAGGTTTGCATAATTAAATTCTACAGCAGTTATTGAGGTGCTGTTCTCTTACCTTCTATTTCAGCTCATGAGGAAATTAAACAGTCTCACTGTTACACTGACAAGTAGAGTCCTCTGAGCATGGAAGTAGGGACATTTTTTACCAGGCTGCATCATCTTTTTTGGTCAATAAACACAGTATTGTCACTTCTTTCAAACAGTGTACTAACTCTATAGCTTCACATAAAATCCCAACTTTAGCTGCAAGCACTATAAGTCTAAGGGTTGTATATTGCCAGCATCCTTAGGATCTTGCTATTTTTACATAAAACGGAGCAAATTGAAGCCACCCTAATTTTTTAATAGGACTCACTGAAACTATAGTTGCCAACCATTCCTCTGCTATCAGCAAATATCTGTGAAACCCACTGGCAAAGAGTCCCATATCCTTTTACTGCTGGTCCACAGAGCCTACCACCGCTATCAGTCACTTACTAGCTCAAGTGGCAGAGGTTGGGATGGCAGCTGTAAAGGTTTAAATCCTGCTAATGGACCACATAGGTGTCTGTCTGATGCCACATGATGGAATTTGTTTTTTTCAGGTTGCTGTTTTAAAAGAAAAAAAACTAGGAAATTACACACAAAGAACTACATTAAAAACCATTTTGTTTGCAATGTCACATACCCCAAAGTTAGGAAATATCAAGAGTTAAGGTTGCATGCAGATGCACAAAGCACACTTAACTCTGGCATTTCCTAACTTTTATGTGCTTGCCTTTGCAACCTTACTGTTCCTTTAATGTAGTTTGTGTGTAATTTCCTAGGTTTTTAAAAAAGCAAACTGAAAAAAAAAGTCCATCACGTCACATCATATTGACACCTACATGGTTCATCCTATTTCCTAATTTTTGAGTGCTTGACTTTGCAATTTTAATGTTCTTTCAGTGCTCTAGAAAACTGTGTGACTATGTGCCTTTTGCTCAAAGACTGCTTTGGTGATAAGGCACAGTAAGTAACGTAATAGTTAGGACTGTCTGTAGGGGGGTGCGGAGCCTGGGGCGGAAGTGACGAATGCATCATTTCTGGGACTGATGTGTCACTTCTGCGACTGACTGCACTAGCCAATTGCACTGGCCTGTGGGGCCCCCCAAAGCACGGGGCCCAGAGCAGTCACCCCGATTTGCCATACCCTAGGGCCGGCTCTGGTAATAGTGACTACTTAGTTTCTCTCTGCTATTCTAGCAGCAACATTTACAAAGGAAGCTGCGAGAACACTTTCCGAAGCAGCTGAGTGCAAAGCTGCACAACTCAGGATTACACTGTCTACAAAGCCTCAATTCAGACTAGCTGCCATCTCATATCCAGTCTCCAGGATTATTGATTGCTGCTAGTTCACATATTTAGCATGACAACAAGCATTTCTTCTGTGAGCAGCAGCTTTTGGTCCTTTAAGAGCTGCAGAAAACAGCTCTCTCAGACACTCTTTAGGCACAAGGTAATTCTCTAAAAAGTCATATTTTTGGAGTTTAATGTACCTACCCTACACACACCTACATCATACATCATTTGAAAGCTTATTTTATGTATGCTTAGATGAGGTGTGATGACGTAGAGTTGTCAAGTGGTGTTATAAGCCTGTAGGTAAGGTGAAACAACGGTACTCAAAATGAAAAAGTCATTTTTTTGCCAAGGTCTAAAAACACTGCAACATGACTACAAGTACAGTTTTTACTGTTGAAGTTAATTTCAACACCTTAATGTGGTGTTTGGTCAAAGTTATCAAACCACAATGTATTAAAAGCTTTTATTTGCAACCTCATGCTCTAGGTGTCCCTAAGCCTCTAACTGCCAGAAGCTGGGACTGGAAAAATTGCCCTGTTCTGTTCATTCCCTCTGCAGCATCTGGCCCTGGGCACTGTCAAAAGACAGGACACTGAATTAGATGGACAATTGGTCTGACCAAATATGGCCATTCTTAATAATTTCTGAAAAGAAATTGCTTGTTTAGCATGTGTCAAAAATGGCAAATATCAACATTTTGCAATATTCTATTCTTAATTGTCAAAGTATCTCACAAATTATATAATAGTTTTCTATATTTTCAATTGAAATTTGCTGACCAGATCAGTCTCACACTGTAGGTAGTGAACCAGTAGCAGTAGATTGTGTGCCCATAGTTTGTACTGCATAGTGGGTAGATATAAATGTATGTTAATTCCTAATGCAGTGGTTCTCAAACTTTAGCAACCCGAGGACCCCCATTTTGATTTCAAAATTTTCACAGACCCCCCCCCCAAGCCCCTCGCTCACCCCAGGCCCAGCCCCCAATCCACACTTTCTTCCAAAGCCCCACCTCACCCCCACTCCACCCCTGCCCCGCCTCTTTGCACCCCTCTCCCTCCCTCCCAGCACCTCCTGCATGCCACTGAACAGCTGTTTCGCAGCATGCAGGAGGCAGTGGGAGGAAGAGGGAGGAGTTGATCAGTGGGACCAGCGGCCCCAGACATGATTCCATCCCCTCCCTCGAGCATGCCCCATTCCTGCTCCTCTCCCTCCTGCCCAGCACCTACCTGCATGCCGCTGAACAGCTGTTCCACAGCATGCAGGAGGTACTGGGAGAGGAATTGATCAGCGGGGCCCGCAGACCCCCTAGAGTACCCTCGCGGACCCCAGTTTGAGAAAAGCTGTCCTAATGTAATGCTTCTCTATTTGTAAGCTTTTGTACATACAAAACAGCACCTAGTGTGCCTGACAGAAGGTTTTGATTTGTAATTGTGTATGCATGCAGCACTAGCCTTTGAAATATTCTAGAAACTCTTTTTAATTCAGATACTTATGCATAGGCGCCAACTCCATGGGTGCTCTGGGGCTGGAGCACCCACAGGGAAAAATTGGTGGGTGCTCTGCACCCACCGGTAGCTCCCCGCCCCGCTGCCCCAGCTAACCTCCGCCTCCACTCCGCCTCCTCCCCTGAGCGCGCCGCTTCTCCCCCTAGCTCCCAGAGCTTCCTGCCTCAAAAAAACGGTTACTTACCTTTCTGTAACTGTTGTTCTTCAAGATGTGTTGCTTATATCTATTCCAGTTAGGTCTGTGCGCGCGCTGAGTGCACGGATGTTGGAGACTTTTACCCTAGCAGCTACCCATCGGGCCGGCTAGGGAGCCCCCTGGAGTGGTGCCGAAATGGTGATCTATATAAGCCCCTGCCAGCCCGACCCCCCTTCAGTTCCTTCTTGCCAGATACTCCGACAAAGGGGAAGGTGGGGAGGAATGGAATAGATATGAGCAGCACATCTCGAAGAACAACAGTTACAGAAAGGTAAGTAACCATTTTTTCTTCTTCGAGTGATTGCTTATATCAATTCCAGTTAGGTGACTCCCAAGCCTTACCTCGGAGGTGGGGTCGGAGTCAAGGAACCGCAGATTGAAGGATCGCTCTGCCAAAGGCTGCATCATCCCGAGAGTGCTGGACGATGGCATAGTGGGACGTGAAGGTATGGACCAAGGCCCACATGGCAGCCCTGCAGATTTCCTGGAGAGGAATGTGTCCAGAAAGGCAGCTGATGACGCCTGAGTTCTCGTGGGGTGAGCCATAACAGCAGGCGGAGGGACGTTTGCCAGGTTATAGCAAGCATGAATGCACCCGGTGATCCACGAAGATATTCATTGAGAGGAAACCAGGGCACTTTTCATCTGCTCCGTAATGGCGACAAACAACTGGGTTAGACTCAGACTTATAGACTTTAAGGTCAGAAAGGACCATTATGATCATCTAGTCTGACCTCCCGCATGATGCAGGTCACAAAAGCTGACCCACCCACTTTCCCTTTACTCAGCTGTTGAAGTCCCCAGATCATGATTTAAAGACTTCAAGTCACAGAGAATCCTCCAGCAAGCGACCCCTGCCCCATGCTGCGGAGGAAGGCGAAAAACCTCCAGGGCCTCTGCCAATCTACCCTGGAGGAAAATTCCTTCCCGACCCCAAATATGGCGATCAGTAGAACCCCGAGCATGTAGGCAAGATTCTCCAGCCAGACCCGCATTGACCATTGATACTAATTACCAGCGATGGCACGTTATTGACCTATTGACTAAAATCACGTTATCCCATCAAACCATTCCCTCCATAAACTTATCAAGCTTAATCTTAAAGCCAGAGAGGTCTTTCGCCCCCACTGTTTACCTCGGAAGGCTGTTCCAGAACT